TTAAATTGTGGCATCTTTGGAAACCATTTCAGGACTCTTTTGGGTATTCCCTTTTCAGCTTTCTTTAGAATCTGGAGAGGAGTCAAAAAGCTTCCAGTTTGAAGATAATGCCCACACTGTTTCTCTGCAGTGTAGAAAAGATAATGCCAACACTGTTCTTTTTCAAAGAAGAAATAAATGGAGGTCTTTTATTTTATCAGTAGAAGAACTCATAGAAAATCCCTGAGTCAGATGTTTTATTACATTTTCTTTTTTCTATCAAATCTGAAAATCTGTTCGGCGTTTCAGGCATCTTTAGGCTTTGTCCAGGGTGTAGAAACACTATAAATTGCTTTAGTCTTTTTTGTATGGATGGGAGCAAATTATGATATACACACAAGAAATCAGGTGAGCTAATGCATTAGCATTTCACTTCTGGAGTCATGACTTCATATTTGGTTTAGATTATCTCTGAAAATTAGTCTTAAATGAAGTCCCTGATGGAATATTTTCTTACAACACAAAATCTCATACAGTTTTGTGTGATTGGCAGACTTTGCTTAAGGGAGACTCATGACTTGAATAATGAACTTACTGCTTTCACTACTTTACTTCCAAATGGTGCTTAGAGCATTCTGGGATTCCAAAAAAAAGTGCTGGGAAGGAATTCTGTTTTTAGTTAGTCTGTAAGACAAACACTTGAAACAATATGATAAAGTCACAGGTCCAAAAGATACTAAGCTCAAAGTGTTCTTTCTTTGAGAACAATTTTTTTCCCCTAGTGATCACACTGCAATCCCAGGTAAGTTGCTCCTTCTACCTTGACCATGGTTTTGTAACATTATTCAAGCCACTTTAACCTTTAATGGGGCCTGTTTACATGGATGGGTATAATAATGCTGTGGAGTATCATTGAAACTTCATCTGTTCTGTAAATGCTTTACTTTCCTTGGAAAGAAAAAATAAAATATATAAGATATAAAATGAATTATATAATTTATGTTGCTTTTCAAGAGTGTTGTGCCTAAATTTAACAACTGACTGTTATGTAAGAACACTTATAAATGTCAAGACTTTTGTATTTGGCACAGTGTTAATTTTGCATTTAAGACCCGTTTTTCTCAGTGCTTTTCAGATTATTATTGCTAATTTTAATGTATCAGATTCAGACTGGTGTAAGCAGCAAATCAGTAGAGTTGTCTTTTTGCACCCATAATGAAACTGCCCCATGATATTTAGAACCAATCTTGACTTGCTCATGGTTGAGCACTTCTTAAGTCCTTGTAGATTTCTGCCAGTTGGGAGTAGGAGGATGTGTGCTGTTTCTTGTGTGTGTTTGACCTCTTACCACCTCTATCATGGGGACCTTTGAAGTTCTTGTTCCAAAGTGTCAGAGGATCCCCACAATCTTTAGGTAGTGCTTCAATTTGTGATCTTGAGTGAGAAGAAAGGGGTCATCATAAACAAAGAAGCAGGAACTCGCCCTGGGAGTAACTATAGAAAAGGACTGGTTTAGATCATCTGCATTTTATTCACAAAGGGCTCTGTGAATCCCAGTGTGAGCCACAAAATGTGCACAACAAAAGTGGAGTAAATAAAAAGAAAAGGAGGAAAACAGCAGCTGTATAGAAAAACTGAAAAATAATGTAAGCAAACAATATCAATGCTCCCTTCCATCAGGTCTTTTCTGATCTACATGTTGGCAAATCTTCTCTTCAGATCAGTTTTCTCTGTTAGTGTAGTGGCCCTCAACCTTTTTGGCTCATGGACAAATGAGTGCCTTGGGGCTGGTGTGCGGGCTAGATGGAGCCCTGTGCCCCAGGATCAGGCCCTGAGGCCTGGCACCACCATCTACCTGCCCCATGTGCTGGGCTTAGGTCCCAGTGTCCCAGCACTGCCCCCTCCCACCCCTGTGTCCTGGGAATGGACCTGGGAGGCCCAGTACTGGCCCCTCCCGCCCCGTGTGATGGGATTGGGCCCCAGGGACCTGGTGCTGCCCTCACACACTAGGATTGGGTCCTGGGAAGCAAGTGCCACCCCTTCCCCTCCCTGAGGCCCAGTGCTGCCCCCTGCTCAGCCATGAACACTGGGATTGGATGCCCGGTCCATTGTGCAGGGCCTGGGTTACCCCATGAGTCTGGACATTTGGCAGCGGGATAGTAGTGCCACCATTTCTTTGCTGCCAAATTTCAGGACCTGTGGGGAGACTTGCGGGTTGGATGACACTGTGCTGTGGATTGGATCTGGTTTGGGCCTGGGGGTTGAGCATCCCTGCTGTGGTATATCTTGGGGCTGGATGAGTAGCACAGGGCCAGTCTGGCTGGAGCCCATGGTTGAGGTTGGTTTGTGGCTTGGATCCTATGTGGGGTCTGCATATTGGATTGGTCCATGGGTGCAATCCCACATTTTGGTGCTATCCAGCCATGGAGCGACACTGTGCAATCCAGCACACATCCAGCCTACAGGGCTCCCTATGTGTCGTGGGGAAGCAGTAGCAGCATTAATTGCTGCAGCTTTGGAAGCTGCAGCAATTAATGCTGCCACCACTCCTATTCTCCTGCAGACAAATTTCCAGGCCTAGGGGGAGTCCCATAGCCTGGATCATGCGGCCCCATGGGCCAGATGTTGAGCATCACTGCCTTAATATGTTAAGATTAATCCAAAATCTGCATGGATAAGATGCATCTCATTTGCTTATGTTTACATTTTTTATATCTTGAGCTTTTTGAATTTTAAGGTCCAATTTCATGTTTACTTCATTTTGTTTTCCAAATTAAAAGGTTGCATTGTAAACTTTTTCATCTGCTTTATTTGTATGGAGAGCTTTGCATGATACCATAAATTGTCTCATAGAAGGCTAAAGTACAGTATTAATCTCTTCAGGGAAATGTTTAAATATTAGGATAACGAGAAGAGACGGGTAGGGTTCCAATTGAAAGATGGCATGTATTATGGCCCTTTAGTTAGAAATACTTAGATGATATGCAAATAAGATGTGACAGTAATCAGTTAGCAAACCCCTAGCAAAATTCTATACTTTCATTTCAGCAACAAAGGCATAATATTTATTAATAAATGGCAACCTGCATTCTTGGCTAGCATACGTTAGCCCAGAGAGATGTCAGAGTAAATTTTGGAAGTTAATTGTCCTAAGGTCTCCAATTTCCCAGACTTGAATGGTAGAGATTTACTGAGCCTCAAAAGAGAAGGTCTTATAAACAGTGTTTCTAGTGTGACACTCTCAAAAGGGACAAATAGGTCAGCTCAATTTCTATCTCCTCATACTTGAGCTACTTCCTAAAAGCAGACCTTCCTTGCCCCACATCTCCCTCCTTAGCCACTGAGTTTTTCCTATGCTTTTTTCTTAGAAGGAAACCACATTCCTCTACAGAGGTAACTGTAAACTTAATTAAGCCCTCTTAATTAACTTAAGCCCTCTTGCTCATGGTAACTGTCCCAGCAGTTTCTTTTTATTAGCTACATTCTTTTTCCAATGTCACTGATGGTGTTGGCTGGTCAAAGACCATGTACAGAGATGATTCTCCACAGGTAAGGAAATCCTTGTATAGCTGGAAGATGTTTGATAGAAAAATGCATTCATCTAAGTGCAATACAGGCCTCACTGTACTAGAGGTCCTTGACTATGTGTTGCACTAAGAACAGGCAGGTCCCTTGTCCTTCCTGGTCAATTATGATCCAGTTTGAAATGATCTCACCTTTCTGTTTGCTTGTATAGTCATGCTCAGTCTGTTCTCACACTGTGGCATCAAGGTTTCTTGAAAAACTGCATTCTTACCTACTGGCTAGAGACTCTACTTTGGGTTTCCAGCCAGTGTTCCTGGGACTTCAGTCAATCTTCCTGAGATTTTTGGAGTCTCTACAGGGCCACCTGTCAGACTGTTTCCTGCATTGCCTCATTCTGAAGACAGTGTTTTTAGCAGCTATTGCTTCAGCTTGGGAGAATGAGCAAATCTCAGGCACTTATGATCAAAACTTCTTATGCAGCATTGTACAGAGCAGGGGTGGGGAATTATTTGGGCTGGAGGTACACTTAAGGAGTTCTTGTGAGCTGTTTGGAGGGGGTGAGGGGGTTGAGGTGCTGACGCAGCTGCAGCCCTCTGTCATGGCTGTTTACGCTGCCAGGCACAGTGGGGGACTGGGAGATGCCAATTGATCCTGTCCGGCCCTCAGCCCATCTGTCCCACATCCACTGCCAGGGGTGCCACACACAGTGGGCAGGTGGGCAGCTGTGTCTCCATGGAGACCAGCCTGGGACCCCCACAGGCAGGGCGTGCATGGCTGGATGGATGGGATGGGGCTGCAGGTGGGCAGAGGACAGCATCTGGCAGTGGGGCCAGGGCCAGGATTGCAGAGTGGTGACAGCATGGACTAGAGCCATGATCAGCTTCCTGTTCATCCTTGCAGTGGGAACCAGAGCCAGCACCCATTGCAGGGACATGCAGGGAGCAGATTGCAGCTCTGCCTGGGCCCTGGCCCCATGCAGCCACCACCTCACAATCCCAGCCTCAGCCCCACTTGCCCAGCCTGCTCCTGGACACTGTTCCCTGCCCACCTACGGCCCCATCCCATCTGCCCAGCTGAGCACTCCGAGCCTGTGGGTGTCCTGGGACAGTTTCCATGTAGACCTCATCCGCCTACTTTGTATGGTGGTGGTGTG